CCCCCCGCCATGTTACTGCTTTGAGTCAGCTGTCCAAGATAATCTCACGATCCAAAGGGAGAAACCACTTTTGCACGTGTGAGGTTGCAGGGGGTATTTACAGCACACAGTACTTGCAGCCTTCTTCCTGCCGACTGCAAGCGATGGGTGTTCAAGTTGCTCAGCCATTTTTAAAAAGTGGTCCTCAAACCTTTAGCCTCAAAAATATTTAAGGTCCTGGCTCAGCAGATCTGCTTTCTCCAGGGAATTGTCATGTTGGAAATTCAGAAACTTTTCCCTTATTTTGTATCCCTTCACTCAAGTACTGGTGTTTCAGCCAGTTCCTGGGCTCAGCCCAAGTGTAAAACACCAATTTCTGCTCCTCAGGGTGCCCAAACTGTGAGAGCCTGCAGCTAGCAATGACCCATGCACAGACCTCAACCCATGCCCTTACCTTCATTTTTGGAGTTGCAGCCACCTCTTGCTGACTCCAGAGCTTTGTAGGAGTAATTGCTTGTGGAGGACCAGCAGGTTCAAGCCTCTATAAGTACAATATTTGTAATCATAGACTCACAGAATGGTTTGGGTTGGCGGGGACCTCCAAGACCATCTAGTTCCCACCCCCCTGCCATGGGCAGGGACACCCTCCACTAGCCCAGGTTGCCCAAAGCCCCATCCAACCTGGCCTTGAACACTGCCAGGGAGCCAGGGGCAGCCACAGCTTCTCTGGGCAACCTGTGCCAGGGCCTCAGCACCCTCACAGGGAAGGATTTCTGCCTCACATCCCATCTCCATCTCCCCTCCTGCAGCTTCAGGCCATTCCCCTTGTCCTGTCACTCCCTGCCCTTGTCACCAGTCCCTCTCCAGCTTTCTTGTAGCCCCTTCAGGGACTGGAAGGAGCTCTAAGCTCTCCCCAGAGCCTTCTCTTCTCCAGGCTGAACAACCCCACCTCTCTCAGCCTGTCTTCATAGGAGAGGTGCTCCAGCCCTCTGATCATCTTCATGGCCTCCTCTGGACTTGCTCCAACAGGTCCATGTCCTTCTCATCCTGGGGACCCTAGAGCTGGATGCAGTAGGATGCTCCCTTCTAGGATGGGGGCTCAGTCCAGCTTCCATAAAAGGGGAGGATCATCAAGAACCTCATCAGCAAGGCCTGACTTTATGTGGGACATCATTAACTTCTTAAATATGAACTGGAGTGTCCTCTAAATGGTGGCATGTCTCTGACTGTCTGCACTGAACTGCTGCCAAAGCCTGAGCTGTGACTTTGAAACATCCTGTAAGTCTACGCAGTAATGCAGGAGAAAAAAGTCAGCAGCATCATGTAAAGGAGACATCCTCCGTCAGCCCCGAACGCCAAGTTCGCATGTCTTTCAGCATCAAAAAAACACACAAAACTGAATATGAAGCTTAAAAAATGGCACTAGATGGCAGCATGTGACACCACAAACTGCGATCCGGGCTGTGCATCACTCCTAGATGCCACCAAGGCAGTCAGCACCGGGTGGCTGAAGGCAAATTACCTCCCGCATCTATCGGCTCATCTCACCGCGCCCAGCACTTTCAGGATTTTGGCTAAAGTTGTGTTGCAGGCTAGAAAATTGACTCTTTTCTTTTGTCTCTGTGAACCTCGTGGGATTTTTCTCTGGAAATACTCCCTGACAAAAAAAATCCTCTAAAAGTCCTTGAGAAGGCCACATCATCCCGCTCCGTTATCTTTGAAAATATTCCCACAGGGAAAAAGGCTTTTGCTGGTGCTGTTTACACTCCCTAACAGCAATGGAGGAAGCACAGGGCAGGATTAACAGTGTCTTTCTCCTGCAATGTGTGTTATCAGTGTTTTAATAATACATAAATACAGCCATAATGGAAATAAGATCAATGACTAAAAATTACATGCTGGTAGGAGATTTTTAAATGAGGCTGCAATTCCACGTGACAGTTCGCCGGGCGCAGCTGGTGTCACTCCAGATGCTGCTGCCTCATCCTCCTACCAAATCCAGGGACACATTATTCAACAGTTGGTGGCCACCTGTGCTCTCTGAAGCCCCTGGTCTTGACCAGAGCCGCAGCCTGGGTTTCAACTGCCCCTGTCTGGTGGCTCCTCTGTTCTTTATTTTATTAAAAAGACCTTAATCACAGCAAGGAAGGCTTGAGCAAAGCAGCCCTGCTTCAGCAGGTTTGCTGTTGTGGGACACGTGCAGAGGGTTTGTCACTGAATTTTGTGAAAGTGGAGATGCTCTGGAGGAAGAGCTGAGGAGTCTCAAAGCAGCACAGGGAGGTGAGATGTTCACCCAAGGATTTTAATTGCAAGGGGTTATATAGGTGGCTGGGATGGAAGATGACCAGTGGTAGCTGGTCCAGGCTACACCCAGTGCTGGGGTGACCCCACACCTACAGGAGTGCTACAGAGGAGCACAAATACATCTCTTTCATGGGTTAAACAGCCAAGAAGTCCATTTGCCTCTGTTTGTTCCCAACCACCGACTGTTGAGGACTCTCTCCAGCCACCTAATTAGGCAGCTGATGTGCCCCATGCAGCTGGGCTCTCCTAGAAGGGTCTCAGCAGCAGGTACAGCATTGGTCCTTAATTGCTAATTAAAAGTCCTGCCTAAATGAGAGCATGGGGAGAAAGAAGGTGTTTTCAATAGTCACGTACTTCCTTGAGCTGCCTATCTTGCTGTGCTCCTTGGATGGGTCTGCTGAAGTTGTCCCCTTTTCCTGTCTGATTTTATTCCTCTGAACTCTGTTTGTTCTCAGTTTTGGAGCCCCCAGACTTGGGCCAAGCAGCAGAGGAGAAACACAGCTGAGATCCTCAGGCCAGGGCTCTGAAGGACAAAGATCTGAGGAGCAAACTGGGGGAGCTGCAGCTCTGGGGCATCCAGAGCAGGGCTGAGCCTGGTGTTCCCCAGTATCCCTCCCTGACCCTCTGTAGGGAAGGAGGGAGAGCTCAGTCTTGGCCAAGTACTGACAGCTTTGCATCTTACATAGCGATCAGGTAAGAGATGGGGAGTTGGAAGGTATTGCTGGCTGGTTTGGGAGGGTGTGGAGCAGCAGTGAAATGTAGGTGGAGCACAGAAAGCAGTGTGCTTCTCTGGGTTTGGGTTTTAAATAACCTGATTCATGGCAAGAATTGTACAGCCCTGGTAACGCAGCTCTGGCTTAGCCTTGTGAGCATGCGATGGCCTGAGCCTCACCCAGGTTTTGTGTTGTATAAAAGCATCAGTGCATAAAAATATCAGCACAGAAAATGCATGTGGAGGGCTTCTTGTCTTTTTTTTTTTTTTTTAAATTTAAATGAAATAGCATCTCTAAGCCTTGTGTAGCATGGTATACTAGCAGTGTTTCCTTGCCTTCTTTGCAGCAAATTATATGGATATAAACATATTTTTTTAGCTTTAGTTACGTTGTTTTAACTCTTGCGTGGGGAAAAACCAGATTGCCAGGTCAGGCAGAGTCATGGGTTTCAGGGCTTGGAGGGGAAGGGATCTGGGAAGTGCAGGAAGGGGAAAGGAAGGTCACGGAGGAGTGAAAAGGGTGTTTTGTGTTTTGTTTGGGGAGGATTTGTTTTAATATCTAGATATGCAGATGCGTGTGTGTGCACTTGCATAGACAGTACTATTGAGAGAAGGTGAAGGTATGTGCAGGTACCCAGCATGCATAGCAATTATTAAACTTAAAATAATTGCTCTGTACTTTCACTGGCCCCTATTGCAAAGCACATCTCTCCACTTTACCTGTCTCTCTGCCCCCAAGGCTGATGCCAGACCTCGATGGGACATTTGGCCTGAAAATCCAAAACCAGCCCCACATGATGCAAGTTGGGGGCTCTGTCTTGGCCACGTTAGCCCGATGCGGGCACTAAGATTTGGGTGCAGGTCGCCGGACACCACAAAGGAAAGTGGGTCATTGCTGGAGAAGTGGCCTGATGGCCAGTGCTGGGATGTATGTCCTCATTGGGTATCTCCATAGCACCTGAGGGTTGTCCAGTGAGCCACGACCCACAGAGTCAGGCAGGAGGGCAAAGACAAGGCCTCACTGCATTGGCCCCACTTTGGCCCTTCTTAGAAGGTCAAGTCCTCTCCCCTGTGCTAATGAACCAAAAATAACCTCTGTGGTCAACATACCCCCTCTGCAACAGATATCAAACTTGGGCTGGTGATAAAGCTCATCTGGGGATGATCATCTAGAGACAAGACCTCCTACTAGCATTGCTCTAGAATATTTGTTCCCCCACACCATGGTGCTATGACATGTGCCCACATCTCCAAGAAAGCCCATGTCAATGGATCAATCGGAGAAAGTCATAAGGAGATTTTCAAACTCGCCTTACTTGAGGTCTTCGAGGTGGGTGCTGCTTAATGATGCTGGTTTCTCCCTTTTCTGGCATGGTGTTGAAAGAAAGGGGCCCTTAAGGATTACAGAAGAAATGGATGAAGTTACTTTTGGGTGAGCATCAACTGCTAGGCTGTACTTGGCAACAGTTTTCTGCCCTATTTTTTGGTTGGCATGTCCCACTAAACTCTCTCTCAGGGTAGCCCAGTAACACATGGTATGAATTATTCTGTTAGCTGCAGAACTGACGTGTGGATGTATCTGTGCCTGCAGTTTCTAACAAACATCTGCTATGTACCTCTCCTACCTCCCTCTGCAACCTTTCATGCATCCTATATGTGACAATAACCGCCCTCCATGTCTCCTGTGGCCTCCCCAGACTTTTAAAATGGGGAATGGGTAGCAGTTTGGATCTCTTCTTGCTGCTAAGTCCGTGAGATTTTACTACTGTTGTTTTTTGGTGGAACTGAGAAACATCTCAGATGTTTTTACTGACCACAACAGAGCTGGACTGCAGTCAGCCAGTGGGTTCAGAAATCAGTGGGTTATGGACAGGCAAGCGGTACAATCACAGACCCTCAATGTGTTTGGAAATCAGCCCGAAATAACCTGCTATGCACCAGTGATGACCTGTTAGTTATTAAAGCAGAGCTTTTGCTGAGGCCTGAACGTGATCTGGGCTCGGGTGCGTTCTGCACTGATGCTCTTGGGTGGACACTGCTGCTTTTTTTTTTTTTTTTTTTCCTTGCACAAAGAAGTACTTGCATGTGGAGTATTTCTTTGTGTTAAAAGAGTTTCTCTATCCCACATTTTGTCCCAAAAAACCATCTTGGTGTGTTCAGATGTCATTTTATATGTGGAGTTGAGCAAGGTGTTGCTGAGTAGTTCCTGTTTCCACATGGTGGGAGCCCCAAGGTGGCCACAGGGGAGGAGGGTCGGGGATAAAGGGCAGGAATTATAGTTGATACCAAATTTAATAGTTATATTAAAAAGAAAAATAATAATTTGGAGGTCACTTTATGGTGGACTTCATTGTTCCCTTTAAATGAGCCCCGTGGAAGATTGCCAAGGCAGGGCTCTTGGAGAAGGGAGATAGAAGGCGATGGAGGGTGTTGGGGTATGGGAGGAGATGGTGACTCCATCGGATAAATGATTGCTGGGCTCTGCTGAGCACCAGCAATGATTAACCTCTGAGCAAAGCTGCGGCTGCTCTGTGCGTGCGGGAATGGGTCCCTGAAGTGAAAATTTCCAGCGCAGGCGGCTCCTTCGGAGACAGACTTCATCTGCTGGGGAACAGGCGCTGAAGCAGCAGCTTGTACTAGCAAAAGGAGGGTGTTAAGTTATTGCCTCTCAAGCTGCAGGACAAATTAGTGCATAAGGAATTTCTAAGGGGGAAGTAAAATGTAAGGAGGTGTCTCACAGTGCTGGGAACGTGGGACGCAACACAGGCAAGGGGCTGGGGCTTGGGAGAAGCTTGTTCTGGTGAGGGGTGTGGGAAGTTATTTCTTATCCTGTACAGACCCAGAATTGGGAGCCAAGTGCTCACTGTGCCTAAACCTGCTCGGGCCTGGGGCAGGGATGGTCCCTGGCACACCCCCATGATGCCAGCAAGGAGGGACCGTCGTCCCACCGACAGCCACCGCCGAGGCAGTGCAGGGCCTGAGCTGAAGTAATTCTCATGACTTTTATTTTTTTTTTACCCTTGCACTTTAGTAGCAGCAGATCCTCCCCACTGGAGGAAGCGAGATTTAACGCAAGTCAAGATGAACCCTCATAAACTAAACAAAACCTGTTCTCTTGGAGGCTTTGCTTATTTAGACAGCAGCTCAAGCTAATACGTCGCTCGAGTGCTCTTGAGCATACTCTTTTTATTTCTGAAAATGAAAAGTAATTGAAAATGACATTTATTGAGGGGTTTTTTAAGAGTTTTTATAAAAGTACACATCTTACAAGCATTTGTTAAATGCCCAGTGATAATGATTTTCCATAACAGGAATATTTGGTTGTTCTTGCTGTCATGAAGTACTTGAAACCCCATATTGTACAGCCAGACCTGATCTGTATTCATGCCAGGCCCTCTGGCTCTGGGAACGTCATTGCTATCATGCCAGAGGTTTATTTGCTTTCACCATTTCCTGATGCCTCTCGGTGGAAGATCCTGGAGGAAACATCCAGCCGCCAGCATAGCAATGGTGGTTAAAGCTGCTCAGTGTGTGTCAGAAACTCATTTTCGGAAATGGAAAAGAGGGGAGGAGGGTGCCAGGGCTGCAGATCCTCCTTCCTTCTCAAAGCACGTTTGCGTTCGTGGAGGTTTCTCCCCACGCTCACCTAACGTGGCTGCAGGAAGCCAACCGTCACCATCCAGCTCGTCGCACAGGGCTGCGCATCCACTTTCAGATGCGTGCAAACTTTCCTCGCCTCCGGGAAGGGTTTGGGTATGGATGGAGCTTAAACCCCGCTGTGAAAGGCTGCGGGAGAGGCTGCACGGTGCCACTTGCAGAAAACCACTCACAACTACACTATTTGCCTTCCTCTGCCTTGTGGCTTATGAAATGAGTCCTGTGCGAGACACGGCTATAATTTATTTTAATGCTGAATTTTACTTGCTGAGCAGATTGCCCAGAATCTAATTTTAATTAAGCTAATGATATCAATACGCCCAGTGGTGGCAGGTGACCAGAACAGGTGTATAACTGGGAGTTACGGGGCTGCTGTACAAGGGCTTGCTCGGACACAGGCTGCTGTCGCTGCATCCCAGGTCGATGCCGGGGAGTGGGGTCATTCCTGGGGGACAACTGATGGGAGCAAGGAGCCTGGGATCAGGGCTCTGTTGACTGAGATGCTTTCCAAACAGGTTGGAAGAGGGGGTGGGGGGACAAGGGAGGTGGGGAAAAAAGTTTTCCCAAAGTGTCCTGGAAACAGCAAAAAGCTGCTGATGCAGAACGGCGTGTGCACAGACCTACAACCACCCAACACTGCAGCAAGCAAACCCCCGGCTGATGCCCCCTGGGTCCCTGCCCTGCGCTTCGCAATAATTTGTTGATGACCCCCCTTACCTGCAGAGGCTCTCCCGTACCAGGTTTCCCGCAGAGGTGGAAGTTGCAGGTGAAACGTGGGTTTTCCCCACTCCGCTGTGGCCGGTGGGTGCAGGCTGAGCGCTCCTGGCACGCTGGGGAGTCGATACGGGGTTGTGAGGGCGGGCAGGTCCTCCCCGGCACTCATTGGTGCCACCTTGGTCACCTTGGGGTGTGCCTTGGAAGAGCTCAGGCCCATTTTTTGGAGCAGCGGCTTTGAAAGGAGAAGGAAAACACCTCACGCACCGTCCTCCCGGAATGCAGAAGGACTCAGGGAGTTCCCTGCCAGCCACCGAGGCTGGGGCTGGCTCCCACGGACATGCCCTCACGTCCTTTCCTGCTCGGTTAAACATTGACCTGGCCATTCCACTGCAGGATGAGAGGTGGTTGCTGCTGACACAGAAGTGGAAAGCAGTTTGGGGACCCAGCGCCAAAGCCCTGGGGAAACTTTGTTTTTTTTACCTACAAGTGATTTTTTTTTTCAACCAGGGCACCACCTCAGCTGGCCATTACCTGACCTGGAGGTACTTCTACAAGCAGCTCTTCTGCTAAATCTTTAATTTTTAGAAGGAAATTCAATCGTCAGAGCACCAAAAGGGTTAAAGCATCTCCCACCCTGTGTGGGAGAAGCAGCCTGGGGACAGGGGCTGGCTCTTGCTCCTGCTGGTTGGTGGCACTGATGGGGAAAAATGCAGCTTTAGCATAAAACCACCTGAAAACATCAGCCAAAGTGAGTATATTCTGCAGTTTTGGAGGGGCTGCAGGATTTGGGCCAAACGCAGGATTGGTGCATAAGGGAGAGATCTGCACTTCTCCATCTGGTCCCCAGGCAGATAGGGGGTTCAGAGGGCACAGCATCCTCAGAGCTGTAGGGATCCATTCATTTCCAAGGCGGAGTGGTTGGAAAACATGGAAGGAGGATTATTTATGCAACAAGATTAATATTGCAGGGTGGGTTTTGTGGCAGGAGTTGTGGGAGGAGGTCAGAGCACCTGTGGGCTCTGCTGCAAAACACATGGAAACCAGCAAACACCAAGAGTGGGAGGGAGAGCCCAAAATGGTGTTGGAGCTGGGGTTTATTTAGCAGAAGCTCATCCCACTGGGATTCCTGGAGCAATACTGTATTGGTTTGGACTGACTGGGGACTCTCTTGGCTTTTCTCTTGGGAGAGGAGAGCTGGGAGTAGGGTCATGCAGGGAAATGAGGATCATGGCAGAGCCAAGTGTCCAGCACTCATGGCCAGTAGACTGCTGGATGAACCACTCGAATCCCACTTGATGGAAATGGGGAGGTGTGAGCTGCAAAATGCCACCGGCCGGGGTGGCATCTCCCAGAAGAAATTATTCATCCCTGGAGCACCCCAGCGAGTTCATGTTTTCAGCTGCAAAGCACCAACATGACTTGTGAGTTTGCTTCACAACAGGTCACACAGGGTATGAGGGAGCAGAGTAGCTTAATCTGGGATTTTTTTTTTTGTTTCCTTTTTCTTTTCAAATGAACATATAAAATCAACACCCTGCTTCCCTCCTGAGTTTCTCAATGCTTAATGTCTATTTTTCCATTTTTTTTCCGCCTTCCCCTGCTGAGAACAGGTAATTCCTGTTAAGCAGCTTGGGAAGGCTGTGAATTAAATGCAATGATGGATGTATCAGAGCGGTGGATGTTAAAGCTACCACCCGTTGTGCTGTATCTGGGTGTTTCACCTAGGTGTGATGCTGTGGTCCTGGCCCTGCTGAAGTCCTCACAGGGCCCCACTGCTCCCCATGCCACCAAACCCCTCTCTTGGCCAGATTTCTTTCCAAGCCATATGGGTTTTCCCACCTGTGGTACAGTGA